GCGTGCAAAGGTAACTCCAATATTGATTCAGGTTTTTAAAAAGTTTTGATTCAGCAGGTTTTTACCGATCTCACGCACACGTGCCCTCTCTCGTGAACGTGCAGCACAAACAGCGGTCAGCGGAGATGCCTATAAACTCCTGCGCAGTTGTTCAAATCTGCATTTGCTGACGGACAGATTGAGCTACTAATCTGAATTATGAGAGATGTCAGCCCGACTCTATTTAATTGGATGAACATTATTTAGTTTTATGCCTTACCCAAAATATAAAAATAACATGCACTAAAATACTAACTTTAGAATATAATATTTAGAACAAAACCTCATCATTACTAAAACAATTTAATTAAATGTGATAATAAAGATGTGTTTAAATTGGTTCAATTAGTTAGAGACAAGTGACGTCAACCTCAACAATGGGCAGCAGGGGGCGTGAGAGTACCGCGATACACCACGAGAGTTTCGCGATACGTATCGTGGCTGGTGTATCGCGATATTTCAGTTCGGTTTTAATATCGTTACACCCCTATAAATACATATATTTTGATTATTTACTTTAATTATTACTATTAGACTGTGAAGAGACTTTCAACCAGCACAACAACAGATGCTTCTGAAGACAGTCTACTGCACCTTTAACTACATTTAATCTGCATAATTGTCTCCCCTACAAAATCATCACAATCAATCTACATTCGTTCCAAATAGAGCTATCTGGAGAAATTGTATTCATATTGCAATGTAAGTATAATATCACAGTAAAATTAAATTAATTAAAATCCTACCAATATCACACAGCCCTAATTCTGATTGTCCTTTCTGGTTATACACATACATATGCTGTTCTTGTGTTCTGTGTTTACGTGTGTTGCATGTTTTGCACTCTTAATAAAAATTACAAATATGATTGATTTTGGTCTGTTTTTTTTTTTAAGAAAAGTGTTGAAAGTGTCAGCTCTCTGTGCTGTGCGCATACATCTGCTGCCTATGTGAATGGTTAACACATGCTCACGCTCGAGCGCCACAAAAACGAGAGTAAAGAACACAGTGTTCTCGACACAAGGACGCAGTTTCACAGCGAGCCTCAAGTCTACCTGCAATAACTTCAGATGCATATACTGGTAAACAACGAGCAGTCGCATGTGCTCAAATACATTTCACATAACCTTGTGCAGCCCTCGCACATTTTCGCATGAAGATCATTTTCCAGCACTCAGTGATGCAGACAAAGCATCACTTTTTTGATGGATTATTTTTTTTTACAGTTCGGCAGTCTGCAAAAGCAGTCTGAATGAATCAGTTTTAAAGATTATGAAGTTAAATAAATGTCAAGATAAAAAAACTGAGAATGTTTAATTTGAAGAAAAATGTATGCTTCATTAATCCATGTGATGAAAACATGCTAGTTTTTTAAGCCATACTACAGTAAAGCACTTGAATTACTCTGTAATTATTTAGTTAACACGACAACTATAGTAATATAAAACATTATGCCATATGATGTTTTCGATTATTATAGTAATGATATTAGCTTACTAGGTCCCACTTTATATTAAGTGGCCTTAACTAACATGTACTTACATAGGAATTAATAGTTTGTTACAATGTATTTATTGTGTATTTACTGTGTACTTATGCTTGATTAAACACATGTATGTAATTACATCTGTAATTAACTTTTGTAATTGCATTTGTAAATACACTGTTGACCATCCCTTACACCTTAACCTACCCTTCATCCTACCCATGCCACCAAACCTGTCCATAACCCAACCTCTATCCCAACTCAAAAGCACCACAGGTGTTCTCAAATACATTATAAACACAGTAAGTACATTGTATTGATTTTTTTTTTTAAATGTAAGTACATAGTAGTTAAGGACACTTAATATAAAGTGGGACCGCTTACGATAGTAAAACGCTACAGTATTTATTACTGTTTATGAGTTCACAAATGTTAATAATACTTCAGTATGCTGCAGCATTAATTAAAGAATTATAAATGCTTTAATATATAAAGTATAATAAACTTTACTATAGTATTTACTATAAAATATTAGGATAAATAGTTTGGTTTCCTATAGAGTTATGCAGGAAGCCATTTGATTATCATGTGACAAAACCACAAAATAGCTGATATTTATGTCACGTAACCTTTACCATTACTGCAAGACATCAAAAATATCACAGCACTGAGATAAATTTTACAATTTACACCACTTGACAATTATATTTACCATACATTAAAAATACTATAGTAATTTATAATGCTTTTAAACCATGCTAAAGTGCTAGAATTAATGTGTTGCAGTGATTCTATAATTGCTATGGTAACATGACAACTATAGTAATATAAATAATTATGCTATATCATGTTTTTCGATAAATATATTAAGGATATTAGTTACTATAGTTAAAAGCTACAGTATTTATTACTGTTTATGAGTTAACGATAGCTAATACTACTACAATATGTTGTAGCTTACATGAACAGAGTTATAAATGCTATAATATATACAGTATAAGGCACTTTACTGTAGTATTTACTATGAAACATCTGAATAAGCAATCGGTTCCCAAGTATAGAGGAATGCAAGAAGCCATTTTGTTATCTTGTGACAAAAAAACACACGAAATATTATATATTTAAGTCACATGACCTTTAGCATTAGTGCAAGTCATCAAAAGTATTACAGTACTGAGGTCAATTAGACCATTGACACCCCTTGACAATTAGATTTACCATACATGAAGAAATACCATAGTAATTTGTAGTCGTTTTGAACCATACTATAGTAGAGTACTTGAGTTGCTATGGTAAAACGACAACTATAGTAATATAAACAAATGATGCTATTATATCATGTTTTCAATAACTATAGTAATGATATTAGCTTAAGCTTACTGTAGTAAGTGTGTTTACTGTAGTAAGTGTGTAGTGTTTTTGAACCCTACTATCCGCTTGTTAAGTGGTGATGTGTTTGTGACGTATGTATACTGTTTCCGGGTCCAAGCCGCCCTTCATTTGAGTGGAGAAATCATTAGTTTATGATTGCGTTTTATTCCTATCACACATTAAAGTTAATTTTACATAACGTCATAGTGTACACAACAATCTATGGGCTTGCTGCATAACAAATACCAAAATTTTTACAATTTATAAAACAATGAATCACTTTCTGGCCATCGGATATTAGGCATGGACATATATATTGCGATCGTGACTTTCGAAAGAATTAAATCGCTTTGTAAACGTTTATTATTACCATTTCATGAATCTCCCTATTCAGTTGAATAGAGCGCTTGGACCCGGAAGCTGCTCCACGTGACGTCACACTTAACAAGCGAATAGTAAAGCATTTGAATGAATGTGTTGTGGTTATTCTATAGTTGCTATGGTAACACAACAACTATAGTAATATAAACGAATGATGCTATATCATGGTTCGATAACTATAGTAATGATGTTAGCTTACTTAGCTACAGCATTTATTACTGTTTATGAGTTCACGGTAGTTAATAGTACTACAGTACGCTGCAGCATTAATTAACAAAGAGCCAAAAATGCTATAATGTATACAGTATAATACACTTTACTATAATCGACACTATAGCATTTACTATAAAAAAAACTTTTGTATAAATGTACGATCGCAGAGATATATAGAGTTATGCAGGAAGCCATTTTGTTATCAGGTGACAAAACCACAAAATAGCCTTCACCATTACCACAAGTTATCAAAAGTATCACAATACCGAGGTAAATTTGACCATTTACACGGCTTGGCAATTAGATTTACCTCACATAAAAAAGATACTATAGTAATTTTATAGTGTTTTTGAACCCAACTATAGTAAAGTACTTAAATGAATGTGTTGCTGTATTGCTGTGGTAATACGACAACTACAGTAATATAAACAAATGACCCAACATTGTAGTTTTCAACATATATAAATTATACATTACACCACAGTTTACTGTAGTAGAAACTATAACTATACTGCATAACCTCTACATCTTTTCAGTTTATAATTGATACTCCATTGTGCTGTAGCATTCATTAACTGTTTTAAATACTATACTATAATAAACTATGCTATAATATGGTCCAAAGAGCACTGTACTTACCTAAAATATCTAAAATATACTTTTTTAAAGTGGTACTGTGTCCAAAGTTAAAACCAAAATCTGTTTTTATATTTCTTTTAAAAAGTTCAAATGGATGCAACTAAAACATTGGCACAATTGTTAACAACCAAACAATAATAATAATAATCCAAAAGCCTCCAGCTTTGCCTCTGTACCACAAATCCTGAGACGTTATGATTGACAGATAAACAGTGGCAGTCTGAAGTATTACACCAGCCAACACTCCCCAGCCATCACCACAGCCAGATCAGGTAGTTGCTGGAAGGGATACAGCTGCGACCGGAAGTTAATCAATTATCCATTAATTGTACTTTATTAACCTAAGTAACCTCTATCCCCTCAGTAATGTAAAAACAGTAATTTCACCCTGTAATATTAATATTATTTAGCAAATTATCCATTAAACTGTATTTTATTAACGTCTACCCCTACCTTAAAACAGCAATGTAAAAACAGCAATTACCCCAAGTAAAATTATTAAATTACTAATTAAGTTATTAACGTCAACCCTAACCATATACCTCACAGTAATGTAAACAAAGTAATGATTACACAGAGTATTATTACTATTCATTAAATTACCCATAAACTTAACGTCTACTCTCCCTAACACAGTATTAACAGTTATTAGGCCTACACCGAGTATTATTCATATTAATTATTAAATTACCCATTTAAATTATATTTCAATAACGTCCACCCCTAATATTTATTATTGTCGTACAGTGTCACAAAAAATGTGCTATATGATGAGAGTATCTGCAGCTGTATCCCTTCTAGACCACAACAAACACCCACATCAGCACCCATAAACCCGCCTGGGACTTCACACAAAGCGACGGCCACTTACAGTGTGTGTGTGTCGGCGGGCAGGTCGGACGCCGCCGGGGCCTGATCTAGTCCGATGTTGGAGCAATTGACCACGCAGGAGTTTTGGGGTCCCGCCGCCGTGCAGGAGCAGTTACCCGGGCACGGGGTGCACGCTGCCGCGTCTGCCTTAACGACCGAGCGCGCCTCCAGGCAGCACAGTGCAAAGAGCAGGCTGGAAAATAATCCAAACTTTGGGAGACAGACGCCATGTTTTCGCTTAGACGCAATCTGTCCATTTCCACAAGGCATCGCTCACTCGCATCTCATCGCCCCTTCTGTTGGTGAAGTTTTCCTCGGAGGAAAGTTCACTCTTTTCCCAGGTTTTCCATAAGTGAATCGGCGCAGAAAGCGAAAAGTGCTTGGAAATCGCGTTTTTTCCCCCCAACTTCGATGACGTTCCCCCGCTATTCCTCCGTTAACGGAACTAGATTCACTTCTTCAGACTAGAGGAGGGGAGGAAAAAAACTCTGGATTCTGCTCTGCCAGAAGTTCCTGAAGAACTTCCTCTCGTTCCCCATCATGCAGTGCCGCTGCTCTCCACTGGACGAGGCTTCATCCGAAAACAAACTGCTGCACTGCAAAAAATGCTTTTCTTGCTTAGATTTTTTGTCTTGTTTCTAGTCTAAATATCTAAAATTTCTTATATCAAGAGTCATTTTCTAGATAAGCAAAACATATTGTCTAATTTTCAGAAATAATATGCCAATAATAAGTGAGTTTTACCTTAAAACAAGCAAAATAGTCTGCCAATGGAGTAAGCAAAATAATCTTGTTTTTTCTTTTGATGTAAGATTATTTTGCTTACCCCATTGGCAGACTATTTTGCTTGTTTTAAGGTAAAACTCACTTATTATTGGCATATTATTTCTCAAAACAAGACAATATGTTTTGCGTGTATAGAAAATTCATCTTGATTTAGGAATTTTCAGATATTTGGACTGGAAACAAGACAAAAAAATCTAAGTAAGAAAAGCATTTTTTGCAGTGTGTTCATTAAAACTCAACGTTTACTGATGCTGTATTTCTTTTATTATTGACTTTTTTTAAGAAAGAAAGAATGTTTGATTTCCACAACACTTTATTACAAAATATTAATACATAATCTACAAAAATAACTCACCAAATATAATAAAGAGGAGAAAAGCAACGGGAAAAAATGAAAAACGGGTGCAAAAGTCAAATAGTTTTCCTAAACCTCACACTGAGCACTGCAGTAACACATCAAGTCAAAAGATGGAAGATCATCCACAGCTAAACAACGAAAGAAAGTCAATGATAAAAGGAATACAGTATCAGTACATTGGGTTTCGATGAACATCAGTTTGAGTTTTTAGGATGAAGCCCTCATCCAGTGGAGCTTTCATTCGTTCTAAATAAACAAAGAAAGAAAATACCAAATATAGCCTACAACAGTACACACAGCCTATACCGAGTGCAGAGACAAAACATTCATAATTAGAAGTCTTATATTCCAGAATAATATTATATCAATTATGTTTCTTTGATTTTATTTCAGATGAAACATTTTAGGGTGGGATTTCTCACCCAAAAATTGACATTTACTGTACAATATTTAATAATATATAGTCATTTCAAATGTTATTCTAATTACAGTAATTTGTTTTTATAAATTGTATAAATGGTTACATAATATTATTATGTACGCTTAATTGGTTCATATCATGGCTAATAAATGATCATGGCCAGCAGGTACAGTTGAACTCAGAATTATTAGCCCCCTTTCATTTTTTTTTCTTTATTAAATATTTCCCAAATGATGTTTTACAGAGCAAGGACATTTTCACAGTATGTCTGATCATATTTTGTCTTCAGGAGAAAGTCTTATTTGCTTTATTTCGGCTAGAATAAAAGCAGTTTTTATAAAAATAAAAACATTTGAAAGTCAATATTATTAGCCCCTTTGGGCTATATTTTTTCCCGATAGTCTACAGAACAAACCATCATTATACAATAACTTTCCTAATTACTCTAACCTGCCTAGTTAACCTATTGAACCTAGTTAAGCCTTTAAATGTCACTTTAAGCTGTACAGAAGTGTCTTGAAAAATATCTAGTCAAATATTATTTAACGTCATCATGGTAAAGATAAAATAACTAGAGATGAGTTATTAAAACTATTATGCAAATGTGTTGGAGAAATCTTCTCTCCGTTCAAAAAACAAATTGGGGAAAAAAACAGGGGGGCTAATAATTCTGATTTCAACTGTATGTGGGCAAATATTCAGTTTGTTGCCTGAAACACAGATCTAGCCCACAGATAAGTAATCAAAAGACACTTTTTCTTGTTAATTAGGATTTTGTATCAACATTTAGCCTAAAAGTGAAGTATAATTAAACTATAATGTGTTTTTTAATAGAAAAATATGCTGCATATTGAACTTATACAGTAGGCCTAAGTAAGTGCAATCTTTTATGATCATTCATCAGGCCCGTAACCAAGGTGGGGGGTTTAGTGGGGGGGGGGGGGGGGGTGTTTTTGGATAGTTCAAAAGAAACCCTCTCCCCTTCCCCACTGACAAAGGTCCAGAAATTGCCATTGGTTCTCATTTGACCTATTCTGACTGTTATATCATCATAAATTGTGGAAATAACCCATCAAAGGTTTTAGGAAAATGCACAATATGACAAACGTGGAGTCAACTTTCACTATTGACCGACTTGTTAAAAAAAAAAAAAAATTTACAAGTAGCCTGACTTATATTTTAAATCTTGACCCTTATTCTTGAGAGAAAAATAATGACTAATGAAAAGGTCTGAAGCACCAAAAGCAGCCTATTAAAGTAATTTTGATACTAATAATGCTGTGTATAAAAATCTACAATCAAAAAGTTCTCAGGCTCCAAAATTCAAAAAGTCTGCTTCACGCTGACTTTAATGGAGATTTTCAGCTGAAACTGTGGTCCTTGGGGATTTATTTAATGCAAGTCAACAGCTACCGGCGAATAAAATATAAAAAATAAATAAAACATGCAGGTATCTAAATTGTTGAGCGCGAGATAATTAAAAGCACATTATTATTTTTGCATGCACCGTCCCTGTAAGGCACACTTTTAAATGTATGTCCATCCACTGGGTGATGATAAAATATCAAAGCGAGCAGCTGGATACAGAAACACAAGTATCGACTTACCTGCTGTTGCATGAATAATGCAATTCTGCCATTTCCACCCATTTGACATGCTGTTTCTGCGCAGGATGTACTGTATGTTTCATTACTTTGCATTTGATTTTGATTAGTGGATCATGGTGATTGGTAATGAGATGATGGCACCTCTTCGACATTAAAATTCATCAACACATCATCTCATCAGAGACTTCCAAAATTATAAAAATAAAGTTAACATTTCTTTTGATAGCCTCTACAATGACATTTAGGCATTTATTGTGACCATTAAGTGGTTGTGAGGGCAGTATAGTAGCGGAGTGGTTAGCACTTACCCCTTACAGCAAGAAGGTCGCTGGTTTGAGTCCCGGCTGGTCCAGTTGGTATTTCTGTGTGGAGTTTGCATGTTCTCCCTGTGTTGGTGTGTATTTCCTCCGGGTGCTCCGGTAGCTATTTTAAATAAAACATGCATTATTATTTAGAACTGTCATTTGATTGTCATTAAATACAATTTGTTTTGATCAACATCATGCTTTAAAAGTCCCATAAAGTTCTTTGAAATGTGATTTTTTGTTTAATGTGTGATGTATTTTGAAATGAAGCATGAAGAGAGGGCGGGACACATATTAGCTCCTCCCCCTTTACAAAAAAAGACTAAAATTTCGCTTTAATCACAGAGTGGTTGAGTTCAAGCGCATATAGCAAAAGTTTCTCCAAGGGGGCGGGGCATGTCAGATACTAAAGAGCATTTGGTTGGTCAGAAGATTTGATGAGAACCTGTACATGAGGTGGAGTGAAAAAAATAGTTTATCCATTTTGGTGGAAGTGACAAAACACAAGCTTTTATTGTTTATCTTAATGTGACTTTTGCCCCTGTTTTGTCGTACACTAGCTTATAGGCATCCTTAAGGGTGTGTGTCCACCAAACAGTTTTTGCGCACCAGAAACTCGAGTGCTGTTTGCAGCAGCACAGCGCTATTGTTAGGCCCCGTTTACACTATTGCGTTTTAGTTTTAAAACTTCGTTTTAGATCAAAAAACGATCCGCATCCACACTAGCGTTTTACCTAGCGTCTCTGAACATATCTCCGTCCACACTACGCCACCAAAAACGTATATCATGTGACCATTCGCGCACTCTGGGCATGCGCGTTCTAGTATAAACAGAAAGCATGCGTCTCGCTCGGCATTTGGTTATTGTTAGTCAATAAACGCCGGTTGAACATTAATTGCGATGACAAAGAAAGCAAGAGAGGTATTTTTGTGGACAGACGACGAGGTCGAGTTGTTACTAAACGTAACAAATGAATAACTGTAGTAACAAATGAATAACTGCACAATGGCTCCTTTTTTTCTCATCCACACTAAGACGGAGCAGCAGCGTTTTTAGAATGAAAACGGCCTCTCCATCGTTTTCAAAACGCTCCGTTTACGGCGCTCGAGAACTCCGGCGTAGTGTGGACAGATGGCGTAAGCGTAGCAAAACTTATGCGTTTTAAAACGAAAACGCATTAGTGTAAACGGGGCCTTAGTTGTTTGCTATGATACAGAGTATCCCCTCTGTACAATTACAAGTTGAAAGACTTTAGCAGATTACTTGTTGACAGTTGCGTTGTATTGTCCCGCCCCTCCTCAACTTTGATTGGATGGCTAGCTCGAAAGTGACACTGATGTTGATTGACATTAACTGAAAAACAACCGCTCAGCACAAGAAGAAAATGCTTCTGTGGACATGCAGCCTAAGGGGCCGTTCACACAGAATGTGTTTATTCTCTATGAACATGCTACTTTTCTATTGTTTTTTTAATGTAAACATGCTCTGGATGGATGTGTCTGACCGTTATGCTGTTGTTTGAAGCACAGTGCTCATTTTATATGCAGTGTCAAGTTGAAATATCTTCAACTTTCACAAGCAGTGCAGCTCACCACTGTCAGGTCCAATAGCAGTCGCCCAATCAGAAGAGCTCGGAGGCGGGGCAACTGTGGCAAGCTTCTGTTTATAGTAAAAAGTTGGCATGAAAACTCTTTATTTAGTTATATTTTGGTGAAGTTTTTGCTCACTGTGGCTTTGCCCAGATATCATGAGTTACATGATGTATTTTAAAGTGCTTATCGTGATATATTGTTTTCCTACTACTAACGGTAGTATTATTATTATTAATATTAATATTATTATTATTAAATCATGTTCATAATGTCGTCTTGTGGAAATTGCTATGCTGCATTTTTTTTAAACCAATTCCTCAGCGCAGCGTCTCACATTTTTAGAAGCAACAATGAATTCGGTGTGAATGTTCCATAAGACCAGCATAATGATACTAACATCTAAGGGTGCTTTCACACCTTCACTTTCGTTTCGGAACGTATCTCGTTTGCCCAGTTAGTGTGGTTCGTTTGGCATATGTGAACAGGGCAATCGCACTCTGTTCCGCGCCAAAGTAATCGCTCCGAGATCGCT